AGCTAATGCGTGCTTTCGACAGCTTTTTAAGCCCAAGTGGCTATTTTGTTGCGGCGATCCAGAGTATCTTTCAACCAAAAGCGCTATGTTTGAAACGCTCAACTGTATCTAAATTACCTAAGTTCAATCTGCGCTCACGTGACTAATTTCATTGGCTGTATTTACCAAGCTTGTCTTAACCAATCAGAACGCGCAGAGACTCTGGACGGAAATATTCCTTGCATGCTTGTTTTCGTCCTTCACACAGGTCCTGGGTTCAAATCTGGATAGATTTGTGTTTGGTGGTCCGGTAGTCAACTCCTCCACGTTTTGTATATGGCCAACTCGGCCTCAAACCAGGTAAAATGTTTGGCAAGTTTCTGTTTCTGTACAGCATTTGATTTTGTTCCATGATGTAAGCTACTGGAACACCAGTAATTGTGTTTACCTCATAACGTTTTGTTTGTTTGTTTGTTTGTTTGTTTGTTTGTTTGTTTGTTACCTTACTTACTTTCCTTCCTGCCTGCGTAGTTAAACCTGCCAGGGGAAAAACTACTCACTGAATCCTGGGATTATTGAAACAGCCAAGTGTCATCACCACAATCATGGTGGTATGCCCCGGGTGAAGAAAATATATTAAAGAGGCGTATACTGAAATAATTTTAAGAGCACAAATATTTCACTTGAAATATGCTGTAAATGCAATATCTCGGCAAGAATTTGAAGGACAGTGCGTTCTCGGGGTCCATTGAAAACTACTCAAGAGAGTAACCCTTCGCCGTTTACGTCCGCAACAGCCTTCAAGAGAGTTACTTACATATTTTCTTGGGATTTTCTTTCCATGAAAGCTTACTGCCTGCCTAAGTCCCGTACACTTTATTCAGTCCTATACAGAGCCTAGACAACCTGCGATAAGAACGAGTTTAAAGAGTTTTGTTGCTATTGATATATTTGATAATGTGTCTTCCCTTCTGACTCAAGAAGCCTGTCCCCGTCCGGCTCTTAGCAATTCAGGGCGCTTTTCATTTAAGAAAAATTCTGGTTTGGATTTCCGAAAATTTCTCGTGACGAATGGAACAGCATTTTCCGGATTTTTCGAAAAAGAGGAAAACCTTACCAGGTATTCCGCAATTTCGGAAATTTCTATTCTTGCCGGGAATTTTCGTTCTATTTGAATTTCTTTCCGGAATTTTCGGTTGAATAGCTCGTTTTTCGAGAAATAAACAATTTCCGGATTTTCTGGAACCTTTCCCAGCAATTTTCCGTACCATTTGTCCCCGTTTCTAAATTTTCAGAAATTCTGGTTGAATGGAAAGCGCCTTAAATATGTTTCTTGTGTTGACGTTATGCAGATGTTATCGAAATTCCAACACTATCAGACCAGCACCAATCACATTCAAGAGAAATGCGTTAGCCACTTAGACAATCTATTTGCATGGAGATATCTCGGCGCCGCTGTTAAAAGTGTCGGGCGTCAACTTTCTTTTCACACCACGACGCACGAAACACACTGTACAGAATTATCACTGGCAATGCCAGGGTCAATCACGTGGCTTTTATTACGAAGC